CATTTGCGTAAATGCCCTAGCACACAGCTCCGCAAGAATAGCGACTGGAGCTTCTGCTACACGCGCGGGAGTCAAAACAACCATGTAATTAGTCGCTTTGTGAGGTATGCGTCAGGTGGTTTCAGAGTGAATGCATGTGAGACTCGTGTTCAGGGCCTCATTTTTGCCAAAATCTGGGACATACTGTCAAGGTACTCCTACGTCAACAATACTTCATGAGCGTGACCCAGTGTGGCTCGGAGACTAATTGAGGGTGGTTCTGTTTGCGATTGACCTCAGTCGTCTTCAAAGCCTTTTCTTAATAGTCCTGAGTAACGGTTTTGATTTCGACATCAAATATTGAGAGGCACATTACTTATAGTGAATAATCCGTTTTATCCCTTTTAAAAGACCAGCTCAGGTAACTTACGACTAAAGACTTTCGTCTGCGAAGCGCCCTAGCCCTCACTGAATGAAGGTAGCTGATGGGACATCATTTTTTGCCGGAACCTCCTCCCCTTTCCTTTTTTCTCTGGACTGGCCACCGACATGTCTAGCTAGCTTCTGCGGAAACTCAAACAACCGGCAAATCAGCCTCCAAAGCAGCCACAAATCGCGCATCGTTTCAGCGGGAGTTTGCCGCCTTTTCATGAGTTCCCCACCTCTGAAACGTCCTACTTATCAGTGCATCCTCCTTATGAATGTAGGATGCTCGAAATGATGCTCGGCAATGCTGTCGATGAAGGACAATCACAGAGTCAGTGATGGGGCTTTTTTGCTGCTCCCCTTCACAACTATGTAAACATCCACCATCAAGCAGAAACTGAAGCCATTCTACTTGTCTGATATTATGTCATCACGCTTTGATTAGGGAATTGATATAAGTTCCGAATAACTACTAAGAGCATGATAATTCAACTAGTCTGCTCGACGGCTAACGCCGGTGCGCCTCCTTCTGTATTACGGCGGGCGCGGCTTCGCTGCACTACCTTCTTTCTATATTTCAATACTCAGCTGATACCCAGCTTTTCTTTCATCTGTACACATGGTCAGCGCTCCTTAACCAATAGCATCACACCTGCTGCTTCCAATACAATTACCGTTTGTGCCCTGGGGGAAAGCAGCGTTCTCTGGAATCCAATACGCACCTGATGACAGAAAGCCGGATATTTGTTGGATAATTCACCGCTAAAGGCAGGCATGGCGAAGCTGGTACTGCCACAGATTTGAATGGCGCACGGCCGTCAAGCCGGGAGCCAGTGGTCAACAACAACAAAGAACATTACTAACTGGCTTATAAAAAGTTTACCCATACTGAACGCAGAAATATATTAGTGGTGTTGAATATTGTCACTGAAAAAAAATCCGAGAAAAAAAAATACCTAAAGAAGCATGATTTTCAGAGAGCAAATCATCTCTTTTCTGTATTGAGAATCCAGCTGCTTATAGAGAACGATCATTGAAAATGAATTGCATCGCATTCTCAATCAGACGACAGTCGGAGAACTGTGTATTTTGTGAGCAGTGTCACTGTTGCCTTCACATCTGTTGTTAACATCTTCTGTCATCAACCGTCGATGTCCCTGTCGCCACGATTAACAAATCGTGGCGCAACTGGTGCTCATAGAGAGGCAAAATGTGAACTAAAACTTCGACCTGCGCCTCCTTATGACGACCCTTATCGATCTTAGGCGGCTGTTATCACTTTACTATGCACATACCAATCAACCCAGTTGCCGCAGTTCGCTTTTGGGAACGAACGGGAATTTTGTTCTCGAACGGGCGCTGTGAACGCAAATGCAGACTCAGCGGAATACATATAGCAAGATAAGAATTTTCACCAAATTGTTGCACTTGTAGCGAAATTTTTTTTCTTCTACAGGACCTGAACCTTCAAAAATCAGTTTATCCGTTTTTGCTGTGTTCGATCATGAAAACATTTTTCATTCGAACACACACAATTCTCTCCCGTGGCGGCACCGCTAACCCTTTACTAACTCTTCGTCATCCGGGTGTCGATCAGGGCGGTCGTCCACGCGTGCCAGGAACTATTTGCTTTTCCAGGCTAATTTAGTCATTTTTTCCACCTTGTGAAGATAAGGAGCTGCTAATCTGGGAAAAAGTAGCCAAAACAGTGAAAAGTTGGAAAAATGACTAAATTAGCCTGGAAAAGCAAATAGTTCCTGGCACGCGCTGCGGCCCGTTGACGACCGCCCTAATCAACTGCCCGGATGACGAGGGTACATCTGATGAGCCTTTTCCGATAGTCGCCTTCAAACGCGCATTTCCTCATTTCTCGCCTCCGTCCCTCCCCTACAACACCATTCCCACATTCTTTCACTATTTCCTTTCAACAACCATTTCAAGACCAACAAAGAACCTCCAGCTTCAATACTGCCTACTGTTTTGTTCTCCCAGCGAACGTTTTCACAGACTCTTCGCAGACGAGTCCAAGCCGAATTGTCCGAAATTTCCTCATTTTAACTATCCCTAACTTAAGTGCAGTGACTGATTGTGGTTGGCCGTCTTTTTAGTTCATATCAACATTGCCTTCAGTTTTTGGTGGCCTGGCGGCCTCCTGGTCAGTTTGAAAGAAATGCTAAATTGGAAAGTAATTGTGGAGCACCCTTCCTCGACCTGCTCAAAGTACGCAGTCGCTTTAGCAGTGGACAAACGTCGCACAACAGCATGAACTGGAACAGTGAGCGATTCTCGAGAAGCAAAGAAAAATGCTCCAAATAGTATCTGTGATGAAACTGCCAACTTTGTTCGAATGATGAAAAAAGGGGTAGAAGGCGTCTACACTTCTCATCCACCCTGAGCAACATATATTGGGAAATCACTCACCGAGAATGGTTCGCTAAATACAAGCTATCTCGCCAAAGCAAAGCACTGCTGCGGCAATCTATCACTCCCTCTTTTTGCAAAACAATATTGGAAATATATGTGGCTGATTGACAACTGACTCTGGCAAACAAAAGGACTTCAACAGATCGTTCAGTGCACTATGATGGTAGCCATAGCGAGGAGCTCAAAAAGCTATAGAGCTGAATGTCAAACAGAAAAGCCGTTCAGTGACACATATTATCCAATAGACTCCATAAAAGGGCGGATATCGGGAAAAGTTACTCTTATGTGGTTCATCGCTCTCTCACAAGAATGCTTTTCTTTATCTTCTTTGCACTGCTGCTTCTCAATGCCTTCCCTAATGAGGGAGTGATGGCCGAGGAAAAGAAAGTTGAGGTAAGGTCTATAGTTGGTAGTTTCGGAATTGTTCAGTGCAGTGTCAGATGGCGTGGAATGGGCCCTTACCGCGCATCCCACCCGTGATCGGCTCACGAGCAGAATGGCCAGTGGTAAAAGAGTCATGTAAAGGCTCATTCTACGCCTTCTGACACAGCCCCCGACTGTTTTCGACAATATCAGCTGTTTCTGTTATCTTCTATGTCTGAACGCTGACAACTAATGGTACTCTATGGCAACAGAAACATACTGAAAACTGCCAAAAATCCAGGGAATAATTTTGCTTTAATTTTTTTAGTTGATTGGTTGTAGGTGAGCATTAACACGTTTCTCTAGAACTCCCTGACACTCATGTTTCAGGAGTGCAATGATCGTTCTCGTTTGTGCCCACAATATAAAGAGGAGGGCAACTGTGTCTCGAAGGAGAAAGACAAAATTGAACTTATGAAGCACAATTGCAAAAAGACATGCGACTTGTGCAAGAAGTAAATAAAGTCTTCACAGCGAAATCTTTTTTTTACTTCATTTCAGTTAACCTCGTGGAAGTCTTCTTGATTTTTGTGGTCATGGCATCTGATCCCAAATAAAACCCAACCACTGCATCAACTCAAACTCGTTTTATTTATTTGCATAAATCTAGTTTTTTTTTCTTCTTCTTCAATAACTGTCGTTTGAGAGGCCTTACGTTGCTCGGAGGAATTATTACTTACCCTCTGAATTTCATGGCTTTCGATAACATTTACAGCAACGAGAACTCCCCGAGAGCCTTGCGTCACTACCAAGTGTGATTTTCCATACATACATTATGTACTTCCGATCTTGAATACTGTTTACAGTCACCCGGGGTCGTTGATGTGTGAATGGTGAATGCCAGTAGCCCCCCCCACCCACCTCTAAAAGGGAATGCTGGTGTTAGTACGACACCTTCCCCCCTCTCTTGAAGGAGGTACGATCTCCGCAACTAAATTAGGGTTGCGGTACGACATCCCCCCTCCCCAAGCACCTACTTACCAATTTCCCACATTTTCCAGTTTTTCACTCACAGTTTTCCCATGAGCGGGGGGAGGGGGGGTAAGTGGCACACATGAGACAGGAAAATTCACGAAAAATCAACAACCGGGAGAATTCTTTTCCCAACGGGGTAAATTTCTTCCCAAGGCACATATACAACCCCCCTCCCCCAACAACGAGGGAATGCGGCCCCCCTCCTCAGCCGAAAAGTACGCCCCCCTCCTTATGGTGTTTCACACAACGATGCTGTACCCTGGTCCTCAGTCTCCAAGATTATCGTGCTTTCGCAGCTTCACACTAAGTAACGAAGGCGCTGTGGCCTCTCATATGTGGCAGTTCTGACGCTTCCCTAGCTGTCCCGCCCACCAAAACTCAAGGGGTACTCCCTGTTCTTACACCATTTCCTTCGTTGTTTTTCCACTGTTAGATGGTATTAGCTCTAGAGAACGCGAAGAAACGATTAGTGAGTCAGAATTGGCAGTATATCGCCTTGCTGGCATGAAGCGAGCAGGTCCACAGATCTCGTCCAGACTGGCTGCCAGGTCCTTACTTACAGCGTTCTCCATCAGTTTTTGCTTTTTCTTCACTGGATAGTCATTTAGCGACAGTAGGTTTGTAACTGGCGCCAGGGTTCACAATATAGAGTGGCGAGGGTTGTCTTCAGGGCAGGGATCCCGTGAGTCTATCTACTGCACACCAGTCGGAGGAGTGGTGCACCAATCCAGACTACTTCTGGAAAGACTGGAAGCACAACAAGATTCATTTCTGTGACTGCTGGATTTCAGATTGGTGCACCAACAGGCACCGAAATATTCGAAGAAATAATTTTGTTGAAACTTGAATTCATCTTCGAATCATTATTATAATTTGCAGTAAACCATTTCCGATTATTAGTTTCAACATTACGTCGGGGCAAATCGGCACAGGTGGGCACTTTCCTAGTTCCTATCGATCGTAGTCGACTCCTGTAGAGAGCGAAAACTCCTGTAAGGCCATGCAGTAGCATGAGCTTCGTTTACACGTGGCCATAGTCCACAAGTAGAACAGTTCACAGGTATCACGAATATGTTATTCGACAGGAACTAGCAGTAGAAGCATGCGGAAGCGTAAAGCGCCCCCTAATGAAACAGGCGAAGCAGCGCCCTCATGTTGGGGGACTGTTCCCAAACACTATTGGTGTAATTCTGCAAGGGATTTGTTACTCTATGGACAACCTGCGCCAGATTCAAGCTGGACACATTTGCCATTATTTTTCGTCAATATTCTCTCACCGGGACGGCTCAATTGGCAACCCTCCCATGACGTCGCACAGGCAACTGTTCATACACAGGTGGCACGCACGCCCCCTTCCCCCATTTCCGTGAATAGATTGGTGCACCCCCGTTCCACATATTTGTCGTTTCGCACCTCACACCACTAGAAGCTGATCCGAATGTGTCCTTCAACGCGCAGCTTTCGTAGCGGAGAAGAAGCAGGAATCAATTTATCACGTATCACCCTTGTTTAAATCGCATCAATGAGACAAGGGCCAGACAAGTGGAGTTGAATTTCATTTTTTAAGTGACAACCATAGCAATAGTACGGAATGCTGCATGGCGAAACCGAGGCATCTTACGCGATTTGAAAAAGTCTCCCAAGTCCCATAGGTCCCACCCCATGTGCAATTCCAACAAATGTACGACGCAAGAATTAGTACCAGTTTTTTAGGGTTCTTCCGTGAAGCGGCTTTTTTCCCAATCTTGCGCTAAGCGCCCTCCGCACATACATACATTGCACACCGCAGACCTCCCATTACATGCCCCCCTTCCCCCAGATAACTCCGCCTCTCTTTTCTCGACACAATTTGCACTCACATTGAGCACATTTTATGTACTGCATCTATACTAGCTTTTACACTTTTCATCTATTACACACATATCCATCAATAAGTGGGCGGGGCCGTCGGGGGCGGAGTCAAGTGTACTATTGAGTGAAAGCGCATTTAAGGGCCAAAAACTTCGCCACTTTATAAATTTTTCCAGCAACATCGGTTTTTGATGATCTTTTTCACAGCTGTAATCTACACAAAGGAATACTGGTCCTCAGCACCATACTTCCCGAGGTGGTGACCGAGATAATCTGCCAAAATCAGAAGCAATAGACGCGATGTTGAGGGACTTTCTAAGTGGTTCGTTGGCGCTTTCCTCCAGGCGGTTGCGCTGGAACTTCGTTTTATTACAATTATGACTGCGTTTTTGTCCAGCACAGGACAGCATAACGATTGTATCAAGTAGAAGCATCCAAAGAAAAGTGTACACGCTCAAGTGAGGTACGCGGGCATGCCCTTCCCTTTTCCCGGATATGGGGAGCAGGCCCGCGCGAGGTCACGATCGCCGTGTGTGAACACTAAAGGAACCGCGGTAAGCTGAAATCAGTTTTATTTTCCGGAATGTTGATTTGGAAGGGACGTTCCTAGAAGATAAAAGCAAAAAAGGCATAATTAAGGATGGGTGATCGAGGAAAGGATGAGAGATTAGATAACAGAGGTTTAAAGCGAAAAAACAAAAAGAGAAGGCTCTAGAGAAGTAAGTTTAAAGGACTTTAAAGTAGAGCAGAAAAAGAATGTGGGTCGGTTCCAAAAGAGGAGTTAAGAGTATAATAGAAGGTTTCCGTTCTGCAATTCTCCTATGCTAGAGTGTCGCAGAGTGGGAAGCGACCTAGGTTCCTTTCTCATAATTTTCTTCAGATTTAACAGAGT